CCCCAAAACCCCAAAACCCCAAAACCCCAAAACCCCAAAACCCCAGAATACTATTTCTTATGAATAGAGAAAAGTGATTATTTTTGTTAAATTTTTCAATGTATGAGTAATATTATTTGGTAATAAGTGAAAATTATCGAAATGTATAGATCTTACTATCTGTTTAGATCATCAAGGGTTCTATCTATATGAGGTCTCAAGATCTTTGATTCTCTTCAACAATAACTACTCTCTCTGCTTATAGCTATCTAAGGTAGACTTAACTCTAGTCATCATTTTCATAAGTTAGAATGATTACTGCTATTGCTATAGCATATCCTATTGATTCAAATTCTAGGTTGATCTTGAACTTAATTCATCTCTATTTGTGGATTACGAGGTCATTGTTCTTTGATGCTGCAAATTATTAAGAGCGTTAAAAGCACTGTTTTACAATTAACTACTAAAGTTGTTTGGACTCATAACTCTAAAAATAGATTCTAGTTTCTAATTTCCTTGTGGCATGAGTAAGCTATTTGGATTGGTATTTATCAATAGATCTACAGATTTTTTCTTTTATTTCATGCTCTTTATCTCACTATTATTTTGGCCATCTTTTTTTGCAGAGTAGTCATTCTAGTCATCCAGATTCACCTTTAAAATACTCTATTAACTTGCAGGTGAACCTAGATTAGCACCTGCTCCACCGTCAACATATCTTGTATTTTTAAACATACTTTATTTGCTATGCTGTATTTTATCATTAGGTGTGAAACTTCCCTTGAACTAGAAATCATCCCCAAGACAGTTCATTCTGTCATTATTCAAAAAGGTAGGTTTGTTCGCATTATTGAGCATATTTATGTTTTGAGCTTCCTTGACACTCAAATTATAGTTATCCTTAAGACTTAATGTTTTAAAATGCTTTTTGCTGCTTTTATGCCCTGAGTTTGACAAAGAATCATGAGTGTGAAAGTTTGACTACATCGCTGCAAGATATATTATTTACTTTTCGGCTTAAAATAATCTTTCTTGTAGATCTTTATTTTCATTTTTGAGTGAGGCTACTTCTCTTGATTTTTCATTGAGATGCTAAACTAAGATGTCCTAAGTCTTCTATCCGTTTGGATTCTCACCTTACGTAATGTGAATGACCTAGGTAAAGCTGCTTTTTGGAGTAGGCCTTTTGCTAACTACATTCTAGCCCTGTGCAGATTAATATGATGATTTTAAACTGTTGAGCTTATTTTTAGTTGGAGCACCAGGTTGAGTATTCTTAAGTAATGATGTTATTTCAGTCTTAAGATCAATGAGATTATTAGGCTTTTAAAACGTTTCTATTTAAGGTGTAATGCCTTAGTTCATATTATTGTATTTCGAATCGAATAGCTATGATGGATTTACAAATCCTTGAGCACTCCTTGCTTATTGAACACCATACACTGTCTGAAATTGAGATTACTATGATTAAACCATTTGAATTTGCTCATTAATCTATGGAGGAATTTATTATTACTATTAAGACTTAGATTATTATATATTTGGAACTGATTAGTAATTTTTCATAAAACTATTTGAATTTTGCTTCTTTTAATCTGCTTGTTTATGATTCGCCTTACTGTTATTATTCTAGAGTTGCATAGGCTTTTTAGTAGTCTTCTTGGAAATTTTCTTTCCTACTTATTTTGGACCTGTAAATACAATATGATTACTAGTAGGAATTGTAGGACTCTCAATTGATCTCTTAATATTAGTAAGTTGATTTTGAGCAGTTAAAACGAATTTCTGTTTATTTCCAGTCAACTGACTTGATTTTGAACTAGTGGATATTTGATTCTAATTATGATTGTTATTATTGATTTAGCTTGATATTTCAGATGAATTACCATCATTATTCTAATTTAAACCAGCATTATTGGTCTTATAATTTACTGTATTCTGAGATTTTAAAGTTTTACTGCTAGTATTATTTCTTAGATCATCATTTCTGCTTGTATATGCTTAATTAGTATTGCCTAAGTTGCTACTAACTAAGGAATTTATATTCAATTCTTGTACTGGCACCAATTGCTATTATCTAGCATGATTCTTATGATTTTTATTGTTGCCTTCAAGAACATTTTAAAGTTCAATTGTTGGTGTTTTAAAGCCGCCATTTGTGTTGCTCAGAGTATGCAGCGAAGCTTGAGTAAATCCAAGAGGAGAATTTAATGAGCTCATATCCCCTCTTAGTAGCAATTATGGCGTTTGGACTGTTTTCAGTTGAAGATTGGATTTCTCTATTTGCTAGAGATACTAGTGAGAAACTTGACTTAATTAGCTAGGGTAGTAATTCGGGTTTAACGGCTGATTTTCGCCAAGAAAGTTGTTAAATTATTTTGCTCTAGCTATTTATGATCTTAAAAGACCCGCCCCTCCTTCTCTGCCTAATATCCCTGTTACTGAGTTTGGCTTTTTTCTCAAAATATCACTTCTAGTTTCCTAGATTTCTTCAGGTTGCTCATCAATATTATCAGTCTCTGATTCACAGTCATTTGAAGTTTGCCGAACTCTCTAGCTTCTATCATCAATGCTATTAAGATCGATTGAGTTAATATTTAGTGGATGATCTTTAGAGAGAGTTTAATTAGATTCCAATCCAATATCAATATCTAAATAATCCTGATATACTTCATTTTTCTATAAATCCATAACTTAAAGGCTTCCTGAATCCTTCAACTACTCGTTTGAGTTATTTTAGTAATAGTTTAAATTGTTGTTATCGATATTATTTTAGTTACTGAAGTACAATGAGTGCTTTAACTATGGAGCTTGTTCTATTAATTATTGCCTTTCCTTAGACACCCCAGTTCTTATAGCTTTATGTTGGTTGTTATGTCCTCCTATATTTTTGGAATCAAAATTAATCTGAGATCTGATCAAAGGCGTTTATTTTTCTTGAAGATGCCGTTGAGGCTTTTAATGGATGTTTCCTTAGTTCTACGAGGTCTGGGAATCGGCTAAATTTCTATAATTGTTACCAAAAATGTTCTAGTTTTTCATTTATCTATATAATTTATATTTACACATAATCTTTTTGAATTAATACTCTAGGGGTTTTGGGGTTTTGGGGAGATCGGAA